GCACCTCGCAGGGAAGAAGGTTCATTACTCCTCCTGCCTCCCTCTCTGCCTCCCTGCCTCCCTCCCTGCCTCCCTCCCTGCCTCCCTTCCTGCCTCACTCCTTCGCTCCCTCTCTGCCTTCCTGTCTCCCTCCCTGCCCCCCTGCCTGCCTCTCCTCCCCGCCTCCCTGCCTGCCTCCTTGCCCGCCTGCCTGCCTCCCTCACTCCCTCTGTTCCTTCTCCATCTTCCTCTCTCCCTGGGAGTGCGCCTCGTAGGAAGAGATACTGGCGGCTTGCACAACCTGAAGGGCGGCGGGTCCCCGTAAGACAACGTGGAAGTCTTACCCACCCACGGCAAAGGCTGCACATCGCGGGCAGCAAATTTGCCTAGACTCGTGCGTGTCATCGGTCCGTCGATGATGGCAGGGAAAAAATAAAACGGATTCCTGGTAGAATTCCTCCGTGGGAGGGAGGCGGAGGGAGGGCGAGTAGGACGGAAGGAGGCCGGGGAGGGGCAGGACGGGGGGAGACGTAGGATGATGATGAGGAAGAGGAGGAGGACGAGGAAGAGGAGGAAGATGGAGGAGGATGTTGAGGAGGATGAGGAGGACCAGTGTAAAGCCAAGACTCGTCAACAATGTTGCAATACACCCTCTCTCCAAGCCTCCTCTTCATAGGCCCCTGCAAGGGTTCGTTCTCTCTGAAGTAATTTCCCCTTTGTAGCGCAATCGATTGAAAATCCCGAACTGTGCCAGAACACCATTCTTGGGACTTCAACGCCGCGAGTCACCGTTACTGTTATATCTTGACGATCCTGAACCGCGCCAGAACACCATTCCTGGGTCTCCAACACCATGAACCAACGTAACTGCTGTTGCGGCCTGATAGTCCGACATCGCGCCAACACACCATGTCTGGGAGGATAGCCATGAGAACCCTGGAAACTGTTGGAACCTCTTACAACGAAACATTTGAAACCACTAGCCCTCAACCCGTGAAACTATTTGTGATTTTCTATGACGAATGTGCGCGGTGCTAATGCGAGAACCACCTTTTGAAAACCACCTGCCCTCAATCCGTGAAACTTTTGCATTTGTGCGAAGAGTGTGCGCGGCGCTAAGGCGAGAGCCACACTTGAAAATGACCCGCCCTCAATCCGTGCAGCTCTTGTAACTTCAATGACGAATGTGCGCGGCGCTAAGGCGACAGCCACATTTTGAAAACCACGTGTCATCAACATGTGAGAAAGAGCGCGTTCTACCGCTGCTGGCGGAAAACCGGGGGGGGGGTCACTACCGGTTCGAACCCCTACCCCCCCCCTTCCGGAAAACCGGGGGGGGTCACTACCGGTTCGAACCCCTCCCCCCCCCCCAGTTCATCATGAAAAGGGGGAGGGGGTCACTACCGGTTCGAACCCCCCCCCCCTCGAATTCGAAAACCAGGGGGGGTCACTACCGGTTCGAACCCCCCCCCCCCCCAAGAAAACCGAGGGGGGGTGCGGACAGTGGTGGGGACGGTGGTGGTGGGGACAGTGGTGAGGGGACAGCGGGACACTGGTGGGAACAGTGGGACAGTGGTGGGGACGGTAGTGATGGGGACAATGGTGAGGACAATGGTGGGAACAGTGGGGACAGTGGGACAGTGGTGGGGACGGTGGTGGTGGGGACAGTGGTGTGGGGACAGTGGGAGTGTGGTGGAAACAGTAGGACAGTGGAGGGTACAGTGTTGGTGGGGACAGTGGTGAAGGCGGTGGCGAGGACGGCGGTGGGACAATGGGACAGAGGTACAGTGGGGACAGTGGTGGGGACAGTGGGGACAGTGGTGGGAACAGTGGGACAGCTCAGTGGGACAGCGGAGGAGTCAGTGGGACAGTGGGGACTGGGGATAGTCGGGCAGTGGTTGGGGCCGTGGAGAAAGTTGGGAGAGTGGAGCCGTGGTGGGAACAGTGGTGGGGACAGTGGGGACAGTGCGACAGTGGTGGTGGCACTGGTGGGGACAGTAGGGGCGGTGGTGGAACCAGTGGGGACAGTGGTGATGAGGACAGTGGTGCTGGGAACAACAGTGAGGAGTGTGGTGAGGACGGTGGTAGGGACCGGGAGTCGTTTGCTGGCGGTGAGGGGGGGGTGGGGAGGGGTTCGAACCGGTAGTGACCCCCCCCTCCGATTTTCTATGGGGGGGGGCGGTTCGAACTGGTAGTGACCCCCCCCCGGTTTTCGAGGGGGAGGGTGGGGGGGGGAGGGGTTAATTAGGGGAGGGGGGGTTTTGCCGGGGGAGGGGGGGGGGGGGGGGGCGGTCCAGCAGGGGGGGGGGGATTTTGATTTTCGGAGGGGGGGGGGAGCCCCAAGTTCCGGAGGAAAATGGCGGCAATTTTCCACAGTAAAGCGGCGGTGGATCACGCTCTCTCACATGTGAACATTTGGCATTCAAAACGGATGTGTTCGGTGCTACGGCGAGAACCACATTTTGAAAACCACCCGCTCTCAATCCGTGAAGCACAATGTATTCCCAACCATCCTGTGGTGTTGGGTCCTCGTTTTGAAGAGGCAGCGCCCCGCGTTCCTCTCCTGGCGCTGCCAGCTCTGACGCTGGCCCTGATGCTGGTCGTGAAGCCGCTGGCAAGGAGCTGGCGGAGGCCTTGCAGCGCGCCAGGGCTCGCAGGGCGGAGGCAGTCGCCAAGCCAGTACCTCTTTAGCCCGCACGGGCTCGGCAGCCTGGCCTCCACGGCTGCAGGTACCAGTACACAATGCTCTACATGGTCGGGTTAATGGCATGAGCCCAGCACGTCGCAGGAGCCAGAACCTTTCAGAGGGTCTCCTCCTGACGCAGTCAGTACATCATTCTCTACATGGTCAAGTTCACCGAAGGCGAGCCCTCCACGTCGTCGAGGCAAGGACGGCACTCGCAACGTGGGGCTCGAGTTCATAGGCTTCAACTGTTCATCTTGGGCGCAGGCTATTGATGTTTTGGATGAGGCCGCTACAAGGAAGATCGTGGGCCCCATGCATATCACGTTCCTTCAGGAGCATAGGCTGAGTGCGCCCATTGCCAAGGACATCGAGGCGGCCAGCTTCAACAGGCACTACACGGCAGCATTGGTTCCAGCTGTCAGCGGCCCAGGCGGACGTCCGACTTGTGGAGTTGGGTTCCTCGTGCCAAGGAATGTTGGCCTTACACATCTTGAAGGCATGAATACGTTTGATATTTCACCTCATGGGTCGCCTGGCCGCGTGGCAGTGGGCTGGTGCTCTGCTGGACAGAAGGGTGGCCTCATGATTATCACGGCATACTTTTGGACACGGGAAGGTTGGACGATTCGAAATTTGTCAATTCTGGAGTCCATTGCAACGGTCATCAAGCAGTATGACATACCGTGGGTATTCCAAGCAGACTTCAACGAGACGGGGGAGTCTTTACTCAAGACGGGTTGGTGCCAAGATGTGGGTGGAGTTGTGCGACTCCCTTCCACTACCACGCGTGCAGGAGTCGGCGGTGGCAGTATCATCGATTTCTTTGTGCTCGACGCCCGCATCCAGCATGTTTTCGGAGACACGGTAGAAGTATTAGACACCGCAGCCGCACCTCACTCGCCCATTCGCCTAGTCATGCAGTCCAGGATGCGAGCAAAAGGCGGCTGGAGGCTTGCCAAGCCCAGACCTTTCCCAATGGAGAGGCCGTGCGGACCAGTCCCGCAGCCTGCACAGTGGCCAGCTTTCGATCATCAGGACGATTTAAATGGCACCCAGCTTGACCAGCTTTGGAAGCAGATTTCACACTGTGCTGAAACAGAGCTGGTGAATCTCCTGGGTGTGGAAGAACCCCAATCCTACCTCGGTCGGGGCGATCCTCCTCGGTGGACCTGGGCCCCCCTCGCTGGTCCTCAATCGCACGCGCGCCCCAGGGGAACGCCTAGCTCCCGAGCTTGGCGGTGGGTCGCCGCACGAGCCAGTGATTTTATTTTCCTCGCACAAGCTGCCCAGCAGGAAGGCACCTGGATGCATGCACGAGCGCGACGAGCAAAGCTCGAGCGCCGCATCGAAGGAGGAAGGAGTCGGCTGGTTCACGACTTGGGGGAGGAGGCTGAGCACGTGATCGCCCAGTTTGAACGATATCGCGCCTTTTGTCTCGAGGGCCCAGCGCTCATGGAGCAGGCCCCCGAGATCATGGGTCTCCAGCGTCGAGCTGTAGCCAGCGCTCAGACCATCGAGCGGCAGCAGGCAGCCACACGGTCAAAGGAATGGCGAGAACGTTTGAAGACGGAATCGGCAGCAGGCTCTTCTTTCATCCACAGGATCAGCAAGTGGCGTACCCCTCCTCCCCCCGTCACGGGTTACTCCGTCTCCAACCCCGAGCTTGCTGATCCTCAGGAAGCGGCCGACAGGGCTGCGCAAGAGTGGTTTGACGTTTGGGGCTCCCATGGGCAGGAAAGCACGGGTCCCACAGACCGACCCTGGGAGGCCGCTCGTTTCGCCCATCCGTTGGTTCACCTGGACCGCCAGCTGTTTACCAAAATATGTTTGAGTTTTCCTGCCAGGACGGGAATAGGCTCCGACCACTGGCACCCGCGCTGGTGGGCTTGGATTTCGGACGAAGGCAAAGACTGCCTCATTCAGCTAGTGATGTTTATCTCTCGCACGGCACAGTTCCCATCGCAGGTGAGGTACATCATATACTTCCTACTTTCGAAGGAGTCGGGAGGCACTCGGCCGATTGGGCTCCTCCCCTCCCTCATGCGTGTAGTAGAACGAGCTCACTCTGGCCTCTTTCACGACTGGGAGCGCTCTGCCAAGCGCAAATATGACTTCGGGGGCCCTGGAAGGGGGCTCCGAAGAGGCCGCGTGGCACCAGATGGTGCACGATGGGGGGACGCGTGAGGGGGAGGTGTCGGTGACGGGGGTGCTGGATCTGTCGCGTGCTTTTGAACATGTAACCATGAATGCTCTGTGGGTGGTAGCCCCTCTTTGCGGCTTCCCACAGCAGCTAGCCAAGCTTCTCATCAGCATCTACGCGTCCACCAGGCTGGTT